TGACAGTGCAATTTTTATTTTCAGGGATTATAAACTATCTGATTTATAAAAACTAAATAATTCTCAACAAATCAAAGTGTACGATAAATTATTTCTAACTTACAATCCCGACCAAGTGTATCTAACATCTCGGCTAAAGAGAATCGGTCGGCCATGGAGAAGAGAATCGCTGTCAAGGATTTTCGCAACAATATTTACTTCTTCAAGCCATAATTTACAATTTTTTTTGTTTTGTATAATGTAAATTGCCTTTTGTTCTCCGAACATTCTCTTAAATGAAAAATAGAAATACTACACATTTTTATGACAATTTATTAATCTCTGTTCTCTAGGTTAAATCGTTTTCTACACTCAAAATTTCTGCTAAAGTAGAAGTATAGAATTGTCTAAGCATATGACCATTAAACAAAATAAAAAATTTGTTCAAACATTACTTGTCCTAAGATAGCTACCTTACCTTGTTCAAATGAGACTGACAAAACCCTATTTCTCTCTTTCTCTCTGTGTGTTTTATGTCCTCTGTTAGACAAAACAATAATATGGCATTTGATTAACCATTATTGTCCCTTAACACAAAGGGAAAAGAGAGTAATATTATATGACATTGACCTCTGCTTTCAGCCAGCAGTTCCCCCAAACTATCTATCTGAATCCTCCTGTCCATTTGCTTTGCATTCAAGAGAAAAAAAGAAAACACAGTAGAGAAGAGATTATCCAATCCCATATAGATAGCTGTATTCACAAACTTCCCAGCTGAGAGCTCCCTCTTTACCATTTTCTGTTTGTCGCTTCTCTCTCTCTCTCTCTTACTTACTTACTCTGCCTCTTCTAACCCAGAGAGATGAAATGTCAAAATCCAACTCCTCCTATTTGTCAAGTCTCAATCACATTAGATTCTCTCTCTCCTGTTTCCTCAATGGTGGTTTTTCCCTCCTTTTATTTTCCTGGCTTCATTTCAATCAAATTGGACAGCTACAAGGAGGGTGGCTAATTCTGCTTCTGAATTCTGATGCAATGCGATAGGAGAGAAACAGCTAGCTAGCTGCTCCAATTTCTTTTTAATCCAAAATAGAACAAAGTGCCAAATGAAATGGTGACAAACTTATGTAGTAAGAAAGTAAAACACATTACTAATCAAGATGGTTGTCACACTGGTGGAATTCTCTCATGTTCGATCGACAACGGTCGGTCATGAAACTGGCTAGAATATAATCGGTATGATCAATTTTCGGCCTATACACAAACTAATGCGGTCGTAGTGAATTTAATTAATGAATAAAAGATAAATATTTATTTTATTTGCCGGATTTAGGTGTAAAGTTTGGGTGTTGAAGTTAAATGTTTTATTTAAATATGAGTATTTATTATTTTGTTTAGAATGTTGTATTCTATTTAAATATGAATATGGATTATAACTTTATAAGTAATTTTTTTTCAAATATATTTTATGTATGCTTGAATTCATTTCATGTTTATGGTTTTTCCATATTTTATTAAACCAAGTTGTACCAATAGTCGAACCATACTACTTGCTAAACTGTCACAATGACCACATTCCTAATGAATCATAGATAGATACATCCTCATCTCTGAGTTGGGACAGACACCTCCACTCGATTTCTGCCCCGCGCCCAACAAAAAATTTAGACTACCCTTGCGGTCGTTGGATCACCCTTACATGTCGTTGGATTAACATGTGTGTATAGTATAGATTTAAATAAAATAAGGCATAATCTTCTATTCGACAACTGATAAGTGACGATCGAACAATGTCAAATTGCGCTAATTACCCTGGAATCAAACATCTTACCCCAATATATTCTCTACCCATATGAATTGATGAATGTTTCAAAATATCACAACCCTAGTTAGTACTTCCCAAAGGAGAAGAAAAAGGGTGTATAATTGAGGCAGTACCAAAATGGTTGTGGGTGGGAGTTGGGGGGGGCAGGTTTTTCTTTGATGAAGCAGATAAGAGGACATAATATTATTGTTCTGTTACTTACAGCCCTGCTCTCTCTCTGTCTTTCAATACACAACACAACTGGAAGAAACCCCATTTACATGCAAAGTCATTGCTTCCCCATCTTACATTGGCATTAATGGAAGGAAGAAGGGTAGGGTAAGAAAGAAGGATGTTTCTCTTTATGGTATTATGGGCTTTTAAGACCAAACCGATTTTGACCCGCGGGCTGAGAATGTTGCTGAAAATGGCCTCAGCCAGCCAGCCCCAATCCCTATCACAAAACTTGTCATCTTCTTCCTTCCTCTTTCTCAACTTTTCAGTTGGGTGAGAGCACTCCCTTTTGTCCAGTGGGTAAAACAGTGACCAGAATTAAAGAAGAAACCCAAAACCAAACCAGTCCTGTCCAATTTACCCGTTCCTTCTCCAAACTTGGGGAATGGATATTTCAGCAGAGCCACCATTTGTGGATATATGGTGAGCTCATGCAAGCAAATTGACTCCCAACCCAGAAAGAAGAGAAGAGAAGAGAAGAGAAGAGTGGCCACCATCTCACTTTCAGGCTAGCGTCATCAAAATGTGACAAAAGAGTGTAAAAGCAAAGCCCATGAGAGAGTAATTATTATGAGTTCCAAAGAATGTACATAGATCACAGGATCTAGTCCCATAGATCCGATCATTAAATGAAAGACTCTGACGACTGATGGTGATTTTGGGGAGAGGGTCACCATTTAACTATCCATCCATCCATCCATCTAATCTATCTATCTATCTGTATGATCCCATAAGCCTACCATGGTCAAACAATGATCCTACTAATATAAAGGTCAGCTCAGGCTCAGCTATTTTCTTGAAGAAGATGATGATGATATCTCAAAAGTAAAGCAAAGACAGAGGTGGTGATGGGACTCGGTAGGGAAGATGGTCTGCCTCTGTTTCTTGCTCCGAGCTCTGCTGTAGTTGACGGCTATAGTGTTCGGGATTTTGTCTGTGGCATGATTTCTGCTTCACGCCTACTTGAATGTCCAATCATACAGCAGAGCAGCACAGAACTGCTGCTGATACAATTGCAAACCAACACCCCGTAACTTAGCCGCATGCTACCCGCCTAAGATTTGGTAGCCGCCCGCCCACCGCCAGGATTTTGGGGCAGCCTAAGCCAAAGGTGTTTGTTATAGTTACTACTTGCTAGCCCTTCTAGTCCCACTGCAACTTGGGTGAGGTAACCCTAGCTTTTGGATTGAGATGCAAAAGTCCTAACCCCTACTACTACTACTAGCCAAAGCTCCTGCCCTTCTCTGATACTTTATCCAATAGTGTATATCCATCTTTCAGGGTTGTTTAGATGATATTCGCGGACGCTGTTCGAAAGGTGATATCTATCTTCCTGATCATTTAGATGGTAACCCATATGTTCTAAATGTAGGACTTATTATGCAGCATTTATATGATAATGGTTTCAGTGCTTCTTATTACCTTAAGTTTTATTTTAAAAGCTCGTAACATTTCATCATCAAAATTTCCGTCTTTCATGATAGAAATGTCTAAATTTTGACATTGCCCAAGAACCAAATTATATTATTTCGGAAAAATGGTATTTTACTTATTTTCAAAACGTATTTTTTTACTCTTTGTAACAATAGCACAGGTTCAACCAAGAGATATTTGCTGCAGAGCAGCATTCTAAGGGGAAATAGACAGCAAAGTGAAATCCTGTCTAGTGGTTCCCATTTGGTTGGTTATCTGACTTCAGCTCGATTGTCAATCAAAACGCCATGAAGAAGAAAGGAGTAACAGAACAGAAGCCACCCATAACCCCATTGCATCTTATTGGAAGCTAACGTTGCAACAGAACAGAGCAGAGAGAGTAACTAGGCCACTGACTGACATCTTCCTTTCCTTATTCGTGCTTGGAATCTAGCAAAGAGGGTTTCCCCCACTCTGAACACTTTCACCAAAAATACCAACCAACAGACACGTTGGCTTGTAAAAATACTGTTATAACCCCCACTTCATCACAAATCTTACAGCAGCAACACAACAGCTAGAACTAGAAGACTTCTCTTCTTCACCAGCCCCATCCATATCTATCTAATCTAGTGACGATCTTGTGTATGCCTACTCTATTGAATTGTCTTACATCTATGGCAGAGGGCACAGGTAGCATTGATTCAATTTTCAAAAGCAGAAGAAGAAGCAAAAACTGAGTCATCTCATACCAGCAGAGAAAGAGAGAGCAGTACTGCAGAAAGGAGGACACTTCAGTAAAAAAGATGCTTAACAAAGTCTAAACATTTGAGAATATAGGAGGAGGACAAGTCACCTACAATGCAAGACAAGCATTTAGATGTATGTATGTGAATTCAAAATGATCTTTACTGGACTCTCTGCAAATAGCAGTGACTGAGGGTAAATAGTACATTGCTGCTGCAGCAGCAGCAGCAGCTGTAAACTCTTCTCACTTTGGTGTCTGTAGGGTGGGACTGGGTGGGCCAAAATATGAAGGAAACGTTGATATTAGGACAGATGGGTGGTGGTTAATGAAGCACAACCAATGGGCGGGCCTAAGTCCAGGCATCCCAATTCCCAAACCCAATATAATATCCGGAAAGCCCATTGAATTAGCAATCACGTTGATCTTATGTGGTATAGGCATAAAACTTTGAGAATGAGAAGGCAACTGGCGCAGGGCCAACTCAGAGTCAGGAACGCAAAATCAAGAAGCTCAAAAACTTGGACTTCATTTGGTGTTTGCCATTGTTAGAATATGCATTCTATTACTACTTGTATAATTGTATAATAATTGATGCATTCTATAAATGTCTGCATTTGAACATTAACTATATTTTGATAACTGTGATTGCAATGTTAGGATGGGAAAGTTACTTTTTGAATAAAGAGTCATGTTACCCTTCCTTTTACCTATAAAAACTAGGGGTGTATGTGGGTCGGTGGATCGATTATAGATCTTTATAGTCATCCGACCCATACATGGAAAAAACGATACATTCTATACCATACATGCATTCATTCAATACATCATTTAGAAAAGCATATACCAAACGGCCACTTAGGGGATGCATTGAAATATACAGTCAATTGACCCTGTCTTCCCTTATTACCATAGGTGGATTAACGGCATTTAGGCACTCGACGAGAGTTACAGGTCTCTCTCTGATCATACTACCATTTACATCCAAAGTTATCCAGTAAAATGTACGCTTAGAGCACAGGGTTGAAGGTGCACAGGGCTTTGATGATGGAATCAAACATTTAGAATGACAGTTATACATGGGACATTACATACAGACAACAAGGTCTAAGGTGTAGCAATAGCATCAAAGAGCGTTCAATAAATTATCATTAACATTATAGGTGTCTTGGGTAGGGTTTATCAAGTACCTGCTACAGAAGGTTCCCAGAATATGAGCTTCAATGTAATCCATATCGAAACATGAGAGAGGATGGAGCCGATGTACAAAACTAGCTATTGGTTTACCACCTTCGTACTAACGATGTGAGCAACTGCAACATTTTATAAACTGATGTCAGAGAGCTGGTCTTCAAGAAGTGTACAAGACATGCGAAATTGTAAGCTCTCAGTGATTAGATGACTGTGGAAGCTCGCTCACACAAGAGAATAAGTTCTTTCTAGAAGTAATGAATGCATATGTAAAACAGAGAGGTAATAGAGTGACAATCACATAAAGACAAGTCCAATTGATTCTTAGTAAACTAGACAGGGAATCCGCAGGAAAGGATGTTTGTAACTCCTAAAACTTTGAATATGAAACTAACAGATGTATGATAATCAATGGTTGCCAGAAGCCAAAATAAACTGACAAATGCAAGGCAGCAACATAATTCATCACTAACGAAAACGTTAAGGTGAAAAGGCTTTCAATCTTTCTTCTCAAAGTTACACATTAGGTGAACCCAAATCAAATTATCTAGAATGCAATGAAATCCAAATACCTCAAACAATTCAAAGGGGTTGCCGCGTCTGTACACATCATCCTTCTTACTGTCCTTCTTAGGAAGAATGCTGGATGCCAGTGCTCTCCATCCAGTTAGCAAAACACCAGTGCTTCCCATTGTCACTAACATAAAGGCAGTGGCTGGAACATGCCCTGATGCTGCAGTTCTTATGACTATCCCCAACTGCCAAAAGGAAGCACTTGCAGTCAGTAGACATACCCTTCTAAACAATGCATTTAACAGGAGCCTCTAAGGTTTAACATGAGCAACAACAAAACACAATAGAGCAAGTCCCAATCTTCTTGGGAACTTCATTTTGCCCGAAACCAATTCAAAGCCAAATTGGAAACTTACAGGAATCCCTACAGCCCAAGACTTGGCAGCTGCAACAACAGCTTTAGAAGTACCGTTCATTCCACGGCCATCTTCACCATAGCCCCCAAGAAAATAAGCACCCAGGAACCACCCTGCCTCACATACCCCCTAATTCTTAGCAAACTGAACACAAGAAACGAAAGGAAAGCACTCACATTTATCTATCCTTTCATTAAAAACATGCACAATCTTATTACCAGCAACAAAAGGATCGGCAGTTCTCAATGTCTCCATGTCAAATACAGGGAAACCATGGCTGAATCTTCCAATTGCAGAGAAAATTAGCAACGACACCACATCCCCTCCAGCAAGCAGAGCAACCCGACTGGTCAGCACAGCAGAACAGAAGTTGGAACCCGACAAACCACTTATTAAAAACTTATAGGGCAAGAAAAGGTCAAAATTCTCACCCCCATTTCTCAATTCGCGAAGAAGTAGAAGCAGAGCTAGGCTTCTCGAACTGGATAACGCCTTCCAGAGGGACATTTTGTTGACCGACGAAAACAGTATCAGTGCTCCCTAGCGCCGCCGGAGGAGGAGAAGGACGGGGTGTTGGCTCTTCGATGACGGGTGGTGTGGTTGCTGAAGTGGTGGCGTCAATTCCTCCGCCCTCAGCCTTGGAGAGGGTTAGGCATAGGCGTCGCCGGTGGTGGTCGGAGAGGGAATTCCGGCTGGGCTGGGCGAATTGAGGAAACAATGGCGGTTTACGGAGGGTGAATTGTATGGAGGAGGTGGTGGCACATCTTCTGGTTGAGAGAGCTCCGCCGGGAGCTTGGCTTAGCACCATCATTTCACCTCGTTGGTTTTCCCTTTTCGAAGAGATCAAGAGATTGTGCAGTTGTGGCTCTTTGCTGCCCACGCGGGCTTTGTGTTGTTTCCGAGGCAACAGCTCACTGCTTCATCGGCCCAAAGGGCCTGCCCTCTTCCAATTTCTGGGCAAAATAATATAAAGGTAGTTTGGAAGTTGCGATTGTTTTGTTGATATTGTCATTATGCATGTATTGTTTATAATGCATCGTTTTTTTGTTTTTTTAGCAGAAAAAATACATGGATTGTTTCTGTGATGTGACAGAAACTATCACTCATTTTGAGTGATTGTTATATCTCAACTTTTAGTTGTGATTGTTGAGATAGTTGAGTTGAGATTGTTTTGTCTCAACTTTTAGCTGATGCGACATACACAATCACACATACCAAACGTTGTATTCTACAATGCATCAAATTCGACAATACATGTATAATATTATACATGCATTCTCAACAATACATCTATTTAACAATCGCAACTTCCAAACGACCCCTAAGTCTAAAACCAATATCTTAAGTTCTTATAACACCTTATTTTGGCCTAAAGTACATCTATATAATCAACTTTGTCTCGTGGGATCAGAAATTGTCATCCTCGTCTCAACTATTCATAATATATACTCAATTGGCCGGATGTGTCGTTTGACTGTCTATTTGGACAGTCAACTGGCGAGCTCACAAGCCCCTATCTAACCTCCTTCGAAATCGGCGACGACTCCCGTGAGTCTCAATCCAAGTCGTCTGAATAATGTAGGAACTCCCCCCACTCGTCTTCAATCCTATCGCCCTTCCTCTTCGTCTGCACCAACTGCAAGACAAGCGGTCGACGTGTGCAGATATCACTCCCGCGAGGCAGGATATCCCTCCCGACTTGAGCCTCGAGAACACTGGATTTACAACTGCTCTGAATGGCGACCACCACCACCCGCGGCAAGTCAATCGTGGACTAGTTTCCAAGCTTAGCGAATATGTCGGCTTGTTGACGATGGGGATGACTGAGAATCCCAGCAGCGCCGCCGATTGCGACTAGTTTTGGAGGTTGCCAGATTCGGTGATGGATCATCGGGGAAGAAGGATTGGGAAAGGGATGAGGCTGTGTGGGCCGAGTGAGGAGAGATAAGGGGATTTTATTATTATTAATTTATTAAATTTTATTTCCACATGACATCCACGTCAGGATAGCATGCTGATTCACTAACGGTCAATAATGTTGACCGTCTAATTTGACGGAAATTCATGAGTCATGCCAATTAAGTTTATATGGTGTATAGTTGAGATCATGATAACAATTTATAAAACCACTGATCAAAGTTTATATGGTATATAGGTATAATTTGGGCTAGAATAAGGTATTAACCCTAAACTAAAATTTGCCTCTTTCTTATTCCTATTTTACTTCAATCCTGTCCCTCTTAAATTTATCCCCATCTTTTAAATAATAAATACATTTCACATTAATCGTACTTATTAGAATTCTAATCTATTTTTACTTTAATTTTTTTATAATTCGTCGCCATTTTACAACATAATTTTTTTTGATAAAATTTTGTCAAATTTCGAGACTAATTTTTTTGAGGCCAATGATAATTTCTTATCTTCTCCCTCTCCCCAAACCTATCCAAAAAGGAAGGTCCAGGTGGCCTCCCCGACACAGGTGGAGGATGATGGCTCAAGATAGGGTGCATAACCCATGGTTATGCACCCATCAATAACCAAATCTGGACCCTTCATTTATAAAATCCAGATCTAAGGATGGAGAATTAAAGGTCATTTTTATTTTCACTAGCTTTCTTAATTGACTCATATCTTTTTCGTTTTAACTCGGATTTTAATTTTTTTTTGCACAGATGGAACGAGTTCATCGTGCTCTACAAAATGAGATCAATTTTCAATATTTTTTGAGGGAAATTTTTTTTGGCCTCTCGGTACCAACTGCATACCATATGGTATCTTCTTCGTTTTTCATTCGTTTTTGAAAACGTTTGCACAGCAGGGACGAGTTCATCATGATCTATTGGATCTACAAATTTGTGGGTGAATAAATTACAAGACCAAAAAATACCACCAAATACCATACAATACCACCCTGGTACGGGGTGGTATTTTATGGTATCTTATGGTATACAATGTTAAAAGTCGTAAACGACAATTAATATACTTCTACTATCATGTATTCAATCATCCTACAGTCTTGGTTTGTTCATACCACCATGTGACGCTTTTCAAACCATAGGTATGCTCTTATTTCAATACCAGTCAATACCATATGGTATAGACTGGTAAAAAATGGCTCAATTTTTTTTTGTTCGAAAAATATATCAAAGTGGATATCATTTTGAAGAGCACAATTAATCTGATCTAACTGTGCAAAAAAAATTAAATTTCAACTTAAAACGAGTGAGAAATCGTCCGTCAAAGATTAAGGAGGGGAAAATTAAAAGCTTTCCAGGAGAGAGAGGATGCTGATGTCATGCTGATGTGGGTGGGTTACTCATAGTTACACACCACAAGGTTACTGACCTGATCCATTCCCGAGGATGATAATGAGAAGACGGCTCCTGAGTGGTATGTTTCCAATTCTGAAACGGAGACTGATGGCCACAATATTTGAGTTGAAGTGCCGCTATGCCCCAACTGTACCGGCTGACTTGGTTGCACCAAGGTTGGGCCGTGTGAGGCGTGCTGTTGAAGCCTTTGAAGGCAGGGCTTCGAAGAAGATTGCCAAGGGGTCCGGACATGGATCGTCAAGTTCAAAAGAGCACAAAGGGAGCCGGCTAGCTGATGACCTCCATATAAATGAGTACGGGTCTAATGAAGGCCATCTGGTGGTGGGATCAAAGAAGCGGCCTTTTCAAGAATGAGATGAGGTCCAGAGAGAGGATCCAGCGGCCAAACGCCAATTTGTTGAAGTGGAAGAAGAGACTCAAGAGATGGAGGTAGCCAGCCTAGAATGACTCCATGTGGATAAATGAGGATGATGTCTTGGAATGTGAGAGGGATTGGGCCAACCCTCACATTCTGTTCTGATGTAGGTTTGATTCATTCTAATAAGCCGGATCTAGTTTTCCTTTCGGAAACAAGATTGAGTCATAGGGTCATGTCTCGTAGGATGCGAGGCTTAGGTTTTGATATTTCGAGTTGTTTCTTTGTTGACGCGGTCGATGCGTCTGGTGGTCTCGTTGTAGGTTGGTCTCTCGGAGTTGACGCTCTGGTGTTGAGTCATTCAAGTTGTCATATCTCTATTTGTATTAATGAGAATGATGTTTCTAATGTGGTTGTGTGTGTATATCAGTTGTCATGATGCTATTCGAGCGGCGCAATTGCTTTATATTCAGAATCTCTGCAAAGAAATCCAATTACCATATGTGGTGATAGGTGATTTCAATGCCATCCTGTCGGGATCGGAAAAAGAGGGTGGAAAAAGAGGGTGGTAATCCTTGGAACCTAGCCCAGTCTGCTTCACTTATGAATTTTGTGAATGATCTGGGACTACATGATATAGGCTTCCAGGAGGATCAATTCACCTAGACTAATAAGCGAATGGGGACAACCTGTATTTGGGAACTACTTGATCGGGACTTATGCTCCCAATCTTGGATAAACCAGTTCCCTGATTCTTTGGTGAAGCATCACATGGACTAAGGGTCGGATCATATAGCACTTATATTATCGGATAAACCTTTCACACGACAAAGCCAGCCTCTCTTCAGGTTCGATGCACGTTGGGCGGAGAATCCAGAAGTTAGGGCAATGGTTGTGTATGTGTAGAATGAGGGAGTCCAGGGATCCCCCATGTATAGGCTTTGGGCTCGTTTTAAACGCCTTCGTCATCTCTTATATGACTGGAGTAAGGGTGGTACTACTAATTCCCTACGGAACATAAAAACTCTCCAGACTGAGATTGAGCAGGTAAAACACCTTCATCCTATTGATGGGGATAGGGTTCGAGACATGGAAACAAATTTGATTCGCCAGTGGGAAGCCAAGGAGATTTACTGGCAACATAAGTCTCGAGTCCGGTGGTTAAAAAAAGGGGATAATAATACTTCTTACTTCCACGGCGTCACAAGGGCAAGGAGGAAAAGGAATTTTGTGATCGGATTGAGGAATGAGGATGGTGATTGGATCACTGATGAGAAGGGGAAGGCGGATATTTCTGTCGATGTCTTCAAGTTGCTATTTACCTTCGAAAACGAGGTAGAATATATGGAAGCTCGGGTGGAGGGTCTTCCTATTGCTCATACGGTAACTGAGGAGATGAATGCGGTTTTGACCACTGAAATTCTGGTGTCGGAAATTTGACAAACAGTCTTCTCGATTGGTTCCACACAGGCTCCGGGTTCAGATGGTTTCACTGGGAAATTCTTCCGTACTTTCTGGGATGTCGTTGGCGAGTCAGTGGTGGAAGCTGTATGCTCTTTCTTTAGGATGGGGCAGATGTTATGAAGCTTCAATAACACCTAACTAATGCTTATTCCCAAAGTGGATAATGTGGAAAATATGCGTAAGTTGAGACCTATAAGCTTATGCCAATTCATTTATTAAATCATTGTCAAAATCATGTCTGAACGACTGGCCCTGTTTCTCCCCCAAATAATCTTGCCAGGTCATAATGTGTTTATTCATGAAAGGCAAATTGTGGATAATGTTCTTATTATACAAAATTGATGCATTACCTTAAGATAAAAACTAAGGGTAAGAAAGGATATATGACTTTGAAGGTTGATATGAAAAAGTCCTATGATAGAGTCGAATGGTCTTTCTTACTTGCGTTTTAGGGAAATGGTTTTAACCCGACCTGGATAAGTTGGATTGAGGAATGTTTGCGCTCCACTTCTTTTTCTGTTCTTATGAATGGCACTCCGGCTGGCTATTTTAATTCGACGCGGGGACTCTGACAGGGTGATTGATGACTCGATATTTACACATGTTTTTGTCCATCATCCTTATACCGTTTTGGCCTATTTTATTCTAGGTTGTGTTTATTTGTCATATTTCAGGTCCTAGCATGTAAAGGGTGAAGCATAGGCACAAGTTTCAAGTCAATCGGAGATCAATTGGCGACTCGGGAGAAGAAACTCAGGCATGACCCAAGGAAGAATGGATTTATACCTCATTTTATGAATA